TATTCGTCATGCTTCGTATATTGATGATTTTGTTTTTGGTGCTTCGACTCTCGAAGAAGCACAAACTTTAATTGACGAATTAGTTACTTTGTTAAAGTTAGGAGGCTTTGAGTTACGGAAATGGTGTTCGAATGAACCCAAATTGTTGTCGCAATTTCCTGAATCCCATATTAATCCTCATGCCATTAATTTTGATCCAGAAGCAAATGGTCCTTCATTAAAAATCCTTGGTTTGAAGTGGATTGCACAGTCCGACGTCTTTCAATTTTCAGTCAAATTGCAAGACGTCCCTTGTACCAAAAGATCGTTTTTGTCCGAACTAGCTCGAATTTATGATCCTTGTGGTTACCTAACACCCATTACGTTTTTCATTAAACATTTAATCCAACAACTTTGGGCAACCGGTCTTAAATGGGATGATCGCCCTCCTTCGGAAATAATTCGTGTATGGGAACAATATAAGAGCGAATTATCTCTTATTTCACAATTCAAAATTCCTCGTTTTTTGAATATTTCTTCATGTCCCATCTTAGAGCTTCATGGATTTGCCGATGCTAGTGAAAAGGGATATGCTTGTGTCGTTTACATTCGTAGTATTGATACTCGTAACCTAGTTCAAGTCAATTTACTGTGTGCCAAATCGAAAGTAGCTCCTATAAAACAGATTACTATACCTCGATTAGAATTGTTAGCTGCTGTTCATTTGGTAAAACTTATGTCGTTTGTGTTAGAGTCGTGGAAGCATATAATATTTCAAAATGTGTATGCTTGGTTAGATTCTCAAATCGTGTTGCACTGGATTAAAAGTTCCCCCTCGAGATTCAAAACTTTCGTCGCAAATCGCATTTCGTATATCCAGTCCTATAGTCAAAATTATTCTTGGCATTATATCGAATCTCGAAATAATGCAGCCGATGCGCCTTCGCGAGGCATGCTACCGGCCGCTTTTCTATCGAAATTAGACTGGTTAACAGGTCCTTCGCTTTTGTATAACATTCCATTAAATTTTCCAGAGGTTCCTCCCTCATTGCAGGAAAAATCCTCTTTGGAAGAGGTAAAGAAATCTTTAGTATTTGTTTCTACTCATGAGGAACATTTTTTGTCTTGTTTACTGAAAAATAAATCGTCTTTTACCTCGATCCAAAGAATTTTGGCTTTTATGTTGCGATTCGCGCACAACTCTCGTTGTAAAAGGTCGAAACGGTCAGGACCCTTGACTTTCGTAGAATTAGAAGACTCGTTGATCATTCTTGTCAGATTTACACAGGAAAAGTATTTTGAAGAACATCTTCAATCAAACTCTTTTCCTAAACCATTTCGTAAGTTGGGAGTATTTTTGGATGATAGCACTCAGTGTTTAAGAGTAGGTGGTCGTCTATCTCAGTCTTCGTTATCGTATGAAGCAAAACACCCGTTTTTGTTACCAAAGAAATCTCGCCTTACTACTCTTCTAGTTCGTTATTATCATGAGAAGTATTTACATGCTGGATTTAAGAGTACTCAATTTTTGATTAGTCAAAGGTTTTGGATACTGTCTTCTAAACAAGCCATTAATTCAGTATTGTCCAAATGTATTAGATGTTGGAAACAATCTCCCAAAAACTTACAACCCCCTATGGGTAATTTGCCTAAATTTCGTCTCGGTGCCATTAAACCCTTTTCGATTTGTGGGTTAGATTATGGTGGACCGTTTTCGATAACCATGTCTCGTTACAGGGGAGTTAGAACTCAAAAGGCCTATTTGTGTTTATTTGTATGTTGCGCTACAAAGGCTTTACATCTGGAATTAGCTAGTGATTTGACCGCGGAAGCCTTTTTGGCCGCTTTACAACGTTTTGTCGCTCGGAGAGGTCGAGTATCGCAAGTATTTTGTGATAATGGCACTAATTTCCACAGTGCTTATCGACAGCTTAGTGGCTTTATGGAGAGCGCTCTCGATAAGGAAAATATTAAGTTTTCATTTGCTCCTCCTGCTGCTCCACATTTTGGCGGTATTTATGAACGCGGAATTCGTTCTGTAAAGGAACATATTGGTCGTATAGTCGGGGCACAAATTTTGACTTACGAAGAATTTTATACCGTTTTGACGTTAATTGAATCCGTCTTAAATTCACGCCCTCTCACCCCATTAACCAATGATGTTGAAGATCTCAATGCTTTGACCCCAGGACATTTCCTGACTCTTGAACCCTTGACATCTTTGTCTGTGCCTGATTTTTCGGAGGTATCCTTCAATCGTTTGTCCAGATGGCAGTTGTTACAGCGCATCCATAGAGACTTTTGGGCTCGATGGCGAAAGGAATATTTGCACACCTTGCAACAAAAGTGTAAATGGTTAGATCCTAGTTTTGTACCTAAAATCGGCACCTTAGTTGTTTTAAAGGAGGATAATTTGGCTCCGTGTAAGTGGCCTCTCGCGCGTCTTGTTGAATTACATGAGGGTAAAGACGGTGTAGCTCGAGTGGCTACCGTGCGTACGATTACCGGAACCTTAAAACGGCCTCTTGTCCGAATCTGTCCCGTGCCGATAGATGAAGATTAAATGGTCAGCATTTTTTTTTTACTGATTTTGTTTTGTTCGGCTTTTATGAATAGAACCACGACAAAACCACCATTTTAATTTTAATTTTTTTTATTTTTTTTTTTTAGTTTAAGTTTTGAATATTTGTTTAATATTTGTATAGGAATTGTTTGTAGTAATTATCGTTTTGATTGTTTAAGTAATGATAGTATTTAGAATTCGTTTTGTTTTTAAAGACCTTATGGCCTTTAAAGGGGGGAGAATGTTTAAATTCAAATATGGTTGTATAAATTAATCAAGACATTTTGTCCTCCCCCTGTATACCTTCGATCCCTATTCGTACCGTTCGGGTATGCTATGCATCCCGTAGGACACAAGCGCTTAAGTCGTTGAGCAGAATAGACGCAAGACACAACCCTCGCGAGTGCGTCGATGCATCGAAATCGGTTGGTTTTATAGTAGTGAATTATGGTACCTAATTAGCGGTTCGGTAAGTTCACCTAGTTTAATACCTTTGTTTGTTTTTTGATTGTTTTTGCAACCATTTAAATTTTATATTATTTGTTATTTGCACCTATGAGTGAAAGTTCATTTATCTTGCCAGAGCTATCGAAGGAATAGCTGGTATTAATCTTAGTACTATTAATTCGTAATAGTACATTATTTTGTTAAACCCCCACAGTCATATGGAGAAGACATTTTCTCAGAACCATAAAGGAAATGAGAAACCAAAAAAGAAAAATATTTTATCTTGATAAAACATGGATCAACGAGGCTCATACACCAAATAAATTTTGGCAGGATGGAACTGTTACAAGTCAAAGGCACGCTTTTGTAAATAACTTATCTACTGGTTTAAACCCACCATCAGGAAAGGGACGCAGGCTGATAATAGTACACATTGGCAGTTCAGACGGTTTTGTTGAAGGTGGTTTATTAACTTTTGAATCAACTCGTACCAGTGACTACCATGAAGACATGAACGCTGATGTCTTTCAAGAATGGTTCGAACAAATGATAGATCTTCTTCCTAAGAACTGTGTAATAGTAATGGATAATGCAAGTTATCACTCCAGACTTATAGAAGGACTGCCCACCACCAAGTGGTTAAAAAAAGACTTGCAGAATTGGCTGAGTTCAAAAAATATTACGTACCATCCCGGATCTATAAGAAAGGAACTTTATTCGTTGTGTGCCCTTCATAAAGAAAATTTTAAAAAATACGAAATTGATGAAATTGCCAAAAATCGTGGAATGACAGTACTTAGATCCCCACCATATCATTGTGAATTAAACCCGATTGAACTGGTATGGGCACAGATAAAGAGTGAAGTTTCAAGAAAAAATACCACTTTTAAAATTCATGATGTTAAACAGTTGTTTTTGGAGGCCGTAAATAATGTAAAACCTGAAAACTGGGAAAAGGCAGTAAATCACACTATTAAAGAAGAGGAAAAAATGTGGAAGCTGGACAATATTACTGATAAAATGATCGAGCCAGTTATTATAAATCTTGGTTCTGAAAGTTCATCTTCTGAATCTGATTTGGATTTGTAACAAGTACCTGTAAGTTTTATATTAATATTTTTATTCATCTATTTAACATACCTTAGACGGTTTTAAAAACTCTTTTTCTCTTTTATAATTTTTAAAAATTAAAAAAAATGTGAATTTTTTAAAACCCTTTTTAATGTAGGCCAGTCAGTTCTAATATAGTGTGTGATAAAAGAGGTCACTTTTGTTTACATACACATAACACTTTATAACACTAAAATAATTCATTTATTTTTTACAATTATTCAAAGTAATTTTTCAATTAATCTTGAGCACGCCCATGGAGTGGTCGGAGGTATCAGTTAAAATTATGCTAATTACTCTCTCGTTCATAAAAATAAACTATAGGTTGCCTTGATCGTCTCTTTGGTTCTCTAATTCATGCACAATTAAAGGTTCGATAGCGTTTTCCAGCATATCGAAATAAATGTCGCCAGTTAAATTGCCTAGTATGAACATACGTTCGCATCACTCCAGTACCGACAGTTTTGTTTATTTACATTACCATTCAGCATAAAAGTACATTCATCAGTGAAACAAACATTTTTTAACAATCTCGGTTTAGCGCGAATTCTTTTAGTCATGAGTTCACAAAACTCAATTCGTCTGTCTTGATCATTATCCTAACATTAGTCATGCCATTGCAGATACTTGAAGTGTTGATGCAGTAGGCTTTATTGCAAAATTTCCAAGGACCCCAATTTGGGAAACTTCATTCAGTAATCTTGGGGCATCTCTTTTATTATTTTGCAGTGATCCCGTTTCTCTAAACTTTTCAACTAAATCGCGGATGTACCCGTGACTTACAGTTTTGTCTGGATGCATTTCATGAAATATTTGAGCTGTTCGTAAATAATACTGGTTCTGGGTTTTGGGTAATTCCTATTACATATATAGATATAATATTAATTACAAAAATACTTACTATGATTGAATACACCAGCATGACCAAGTAACTGGTTGATTAATCTTGGGTGCTTTTCGAGTTTCAGCGTATGCTTTCCATCATTAGAGAGTAATGTACAGACATTAATGGCAAAATCTTGTTCGTTGGGCAAGGGAGAAATGAGGGACAAAGACAAGCGGTCGTAGTCTGATTGTTTGTACAGATTAGTTGACAAGTGGTTGTGTTCTCGATTGGCATCTGAAAAACAAAGAGTTAAAACATTAGTTATGCAAATAAATATTTAATTAAAAATATCGAATATACATTACCCAAATACTAAAAACTAACGTTCAAATAAAAAGCTCTCTACAATAAGTTATTATCGTCTGATTTGATTTTCAGTGCAGATTCTGCAACGTTCTTATCATTTTGTGGGGGTATCCTTTATCTTGACTTGTTTTAAAGTTTTTAGTTTCTTCCGTTTCCGTTTTAGGAAGTTTCTGTACAATTAAACTATTGCCTTTTTAACTCCAGACTCAATTACCAAAAGTCTATGAGCTAGTGTATGTCTTTTTCAGCATAACGATAAAAAGGAGTGAAAATATTTCTTAAAATCAGCCACATAAAACGAACAAAAAAATGAATGCAACTCATTGTCTTGTTGTTTCTTTTCTGTGGATGGGTTCTTTGTCTGATGTTTTGGTGTTCTGTTTTAGGTTTTTCACCTCTTTAGGACGTGGTTTGTTTATTGTTGGGTGTTGTTTTTTCTTTCGCTTTCGTGAATTCTAATGGTGGTTTGCTTCTTTGACTTGTCGTCGGAGGAGCGTACTGGACAATCAGGCGAAAGGGATGTTGGTTAGCGGTCCTTTTCAGAAGTTATTGTTCTAAAAATATTATGGATATGTGAATTTATATGTTTACAATTTGATAAATAATAAATATGTTGAAACGCGATTCGCCTGAGGGCAGCTGTGGCTGTATCCTCTGCAATAAACAGGTATCATTGTGCAATGGGATCGGGAAAACACAGAAAACAGATCCCTCCCTGTCTAGGCAAGCTCGAAATGAGCATTTAAAAGTTATTGCGACGATACTAGAGGAAAGTTGCCTCCTGAATATCAATGTATTCATTAGGGAGCTCGTTGCTGGCTAAGGCCAGCAGTATTACGGATAGGAAGGGGAATTTAGGTTTAGGTTTTCTTCTGAATACATTGCCGATGGATGAGCAGCTGGTTTTTAAAACGTTTCCTCCATGGGCTGAATATTCGACAGGTGATGAATATAGGCGGAGGGGTAGTCACGACGCTTGTTATTCACTCTAGCAGGATTCTCCTCTCCATTGCGAGCAGTTTTTGTGAGATGGCTGCGCATCGTCATATAGATATTGGATCTATACTAGATAACCGGCCTAATAAATGTTTTATATGTGTGTATGAGTGAGCGTGGGTGTGTTCTTCCGAATTTATTACCAAGAGCATTGAGTGGACCGAGTTTGTTCCTAGCCTTGTTACAGGCTATATCCAGATCAGTCCTCCAGTTCAGTGTTTGTGTAAACACCACACCAAGGTACTCGATCCGGTCGCGGAGCTGTAGTCGGTTTCCCCAAAGTCTAAGGTTGTGTCTTTCGGATATGATGGGTGTCATGTATCTGCTGAGATATGGATGTCTGAAGAGAATCATTTATTTGGGTTAGGTGATACTCTACATCTCCTACACCACCTGTCGACCAGGTTAAGGTGATTTTGAGCAAACCTAAGTACTGAATCTACGTCTCGTGATGTTGTTACGAGAGCTGTATCATCTGCGTAGAGCAAAGTGGTTGTATTATTGCATTGTGGGTTGCAAAAGTCACTATTGTAAATTGTGTATAATATGGGAGCCAACACTGAACCTTGTGGTACTCCTGCTGTAGGAGTAAAATAATCAGAGAAGTGATCTCGCTATTTTACCGTGATTAGACGTTAAGAGACATGAATGGATAAGTCTAACGAATGAGAGGGGCAGGCCGATATTCGAAAGTTTCTTGGCCAGTCCAGCATGCCAGACTTGGTCGAAGGCTTTTTGAACATCGAGAAAGATGCCTAAGGATACTTTTCCGTCGTTTAGACTTTGTGTGAGACGTGTGACGATTTCTGTCAATGCCGTTTTGGATCTCTAAAGCCGAATTGAAACGATGGAATTATAGTGTGTTGCTGTCTGGCTTGCAGAGACATATGAATGTATAAGTCTAACGAATGAGAGGGGCAGGCCTATGTTCGAAAGTTTCTTGGCCTGTCCAGCATGCCAGACTTGGTCGAAGTCTTTTTGAACATTGAGAAAGATGCCTAAGGATACTTTTCCGTCGTTTAGACTTTGTGTGAGACATGCGACGATTTCTGTCAATGCCGTTTTGGATCTCTAAAGCCGAATTGAAACGATGTAATGATAGTGTGTTGCTGTCTGGCTTGCAGATTATTAACCTGTAGTTTAATTACCGCAGGCAGGCGGTTGTATTCTGTTTTGACTAAGGGGTTACGGGTGCGTTGAAACTGACGGAGGAGTCGTCTTTTTTGTTTAATTTTATCGACAATGTATTGAGGTAGAGGTGGTTTGCGTGGGTTGATAACCCTTATGGGGACTGATATCTCAATTTCTTGATTTATCAGTTCGGTAATAACCGTGATAAAATGAATGCTAAGTTTTATACTCTTTTGTACTCTTTATAATCATTTTGAAACTGTCTAGTTCTTGTTAGCGACTGCGCCCGTTTTCTAATCGTAAGCGATTTGATTTTTTTTTTATATATTTGCAATACTTTACCTGTTACGTTATGCTGAGCATAATTGTAGCTACAAGGTACGGAATGCAAAGTCCTTGCGGACCATCGCTTATGCCTACTTTCTTCGTCGTCGTCACTGGTTCGGTCGGCATCTTCGTGAAGAAAATGAACTTTCTCCCACCGATCCAAATATCTGAAATTAATTAATTAAAAACATTAGAATTTCCGTTAACAAATCTGCAGACGGATATATACTTGGTGAGAAATTGCTAATGGAAGATTTTAGTTATATAGATGCTGGTAATTTGTACGTAGGAAATGAAAAAGAAATTGTTTATAGTAAGTGCATTGAAAAAAAAAAAAGACAAAAGAGGGAATTTAATCGTTACGAAAAGGAGAGAGACGAGAAAGTTTTAATTAAATATTACCAATAATAGTCTAAAATGTGACAATATAAATAAGATTTCACGTAACAGTTGGGACAAAAAATCACATAACCCAACTAAATTTGATTTCTTAAACAAGGAAAGAGAGTCTCTTTCCTTGTTTAAATAGAGAGTCTAAATACTTTCAATAATATTACTAAAACAGTTTCTCTGGATAATATTGTTGGTTATGGTGTAGCCCTGTCTAAATGCTCAAAAGATCAAGGTTGTTCCATAACCAGTTTACTATAGGAGGAATGTATCAACAACTTTCAAATAAGTATGTGAAAGTTGTCTTCTTAATCCTCCATGAATTCACCATTGCCTAGATAAGTGTGAATAACTGCAATTTGGCAAATATCTAATTTGGTCAATTGAATAGTATCTAATGTTATTTACAAATATAGCAAACACTTCCAACGGTTTTTAATATCTTATATTTTATAACCATTTTTAACCATGTTTATTTTATAAATAATGTTAATTTATACTGGAATCAATCAGCTTCCCTTAAAATCAACCAGGAAAAGAAGAAGTGAAAATTAAATATGACCACCGTGTAGAAGATGGATCAATGATATAGAAATCTAAGGATCAGAAGATGAAGGAAAATTGCAAGGAATCGAAGGAGTGGCGACTTCTTTGCAAGTAGGACAACATCCACAAAGCATTGTCGAGTAAATTATGATGTCACACCTTGCATCTACGTCGTAAATCTGTACTTCTAGCTCTTTCCCATAGTGTTTTACCATAAATTTCATCCACAAAGGATTGTCAAGCAAATTATGATATCCTAGTCCTTGATGTTTTCCACCTTGCATCTACGTTGTATATCTGTACTTCTAGATCTGTCTCATAAGGTTTTACCATTAATTTTTCTAAGTGTTTTCATCTCTGCTGCTTCTAACATCCTTTTTGTCCTCTTCAGATCGTGTTTCTGCCGCGTATGTCATTATTGGTCTGATGACTGTTTTGTAAATTTAGCTTTCATTTTTTTTCTCGATATTTTTCTTTCTTCATATTGTTTCATTCAGGTAACCTGCGGCTCTGTTTGCCCTATTCACAAAAAAGTAAACTGGGTAAAAAAGTGACACTTTTTATTATTTAAACCATAATCCCGTTATATAAATCATATATTCTTCTTCTTAGAGTGCCATATCCCCACGGAACGTCGGCGACTACCATGCTTATAATATTGTTATACTGATCTCGGTCTTGCGCTACGTGTAGAAATTATTCCGCTGTCAAACCTGTCCACTGCCGCAAATTCCTCAACCAAGAGAGTTTCTTCCGTCCTATCCATTTCTTTCCTTCGATTTTACCGTTGAGAATTAGCCGAAGGAACTCATATCTTGGTCCTCTGATTATATGTCCAAGATATTCTAGTTTACGCCTCTTAATAATATTTAATAGAGTTCGTTGATGTCACATTCTTTGAAGAACTTCTTCGTTTCTGGTTCTGCTAGTCCATGGAATTTTTAGTATCCTTCGATAAAACCACATCTCAAACGCCTCGATTTTATTCATGATATCGGCGTTTAAAGTCCAAGTTTCACATCCATACAAAAGTACAGACCACACGTAACCCAATTTGTGCATTCCATGTCAACTCTATTGATTAGCTCCTACAGATCGTCGATGTTTTCAGCTAGAATCACAGTATCGTCGGCGTACCGTATATTGTTAATTATTTCTCCTCCTATGACAATTCCTTTTTGATCTTTTAAAGCTTCCCTAAATAGATTCTCAGAATACACGTTAAAGAGGGTGGGAGATAGTATACAGCCTTGTCTTAAGCCTCGTTCAATACTGATTGGTTTTGATTCTCTGTTGTTGGTATTAATAATGGCTGTTTGGTTCCAGTAAAGTTTGGCAATAAGTTTGATGTCTTTCTCATCTAGTTGGATGCTCTGCAAGGCGGTAATTAGTCTGGTATGCTGAACGCAATCAAATGCCTTTTCAAAATCAATGAAGCACATATATACGGGTTTTCTTACCTCCCAACATCGTTGAAGGAGTGTTTGCATAGAAAATAGTGCTTCTCTAGTTGCAAGGCATCTCCGGAACCCGAACTGCTCTTGACTAATTATTTCTTCGCAGTTGTTGTTAATTCTGTTTAGAAGAATATGCAACAGTATTTTTACGGCATGGCTTATTAAACTAATGAGTCTACAATCGCTACATTTCTTAACGTTTGATTTCTTAGGTAGAGAAATAAAGATCGATTTTAACCAGTCCGATGGAATTTCACTGGTATCATATATTTGATTGAAAAGTACAGTGAGTTCTTTTATATTGTCATTTGAGAGTAATTTTAGCCATTCGGTGTATATTTGATCTGGTCCACTGGCTTTGTTGTTTTTGGTTTGGTGTATGGCTTTTTCCACTTCAGCTTTTAAGGTTGATGGTCCTGTATTTGCACTTAAGTTAGGTAGTGATCCTCGATCATCCTTAAATAATGCTTTAATCCAGTTTTCCCATTCCTCCATTACTTCGTCTTCTAGGGATAGTGCATGACCTTCATTATTCGTTAATGTTATGGGTGTATTTCTTTTGTGTACTGTAACTTCTTTTATTTTCTTATGTGTGTTAAATTCGTCATGTTTTCGTTGCAATTCTAGTTCCTCACATTTTGCTCGCATCCATAACTCTTTGGCTTCCCTGATTTTTCTTCGAATCAGATTATGCTTTCGTTTATACTCTGAGTTATTTCTATTTTTAAGCTGTCTTCTTTCATTTCGATTATTTCATCTTTCATCCACGCTTGCTTTTTATAATGGGTGACAGTTCCACTTTGCGTTGCTGTATCGATGATACCATTCTTTATGTTATCCCATCTTTCTTCGACTGTTGGTACATTGTATACTTGTGTGATGTTGTCTTGAATTTTTTCGTTCATTGTCTGTTCAAAGTGATGTTTAAATTCTTCTTCTTTTAGTTTTTGTCTATCGTATTTCTTTGTAATGGAAGGCTTTTTGATTGTCTTTAATTTTAGATTGATTCTAGATGCCAGTAGGTAAATTGTGATCGGTGGCTGCGTCGGCACTTGGATGTGTCTTAGTACATTTACATGAGTTTCGAAATCTATTGTTAATCATGATATAATCTATTTGGTTACGCATTACACTACCATGGCCATCTCTCGATGATAAGGGTAACAAAGTTATCTGTTTGTTTTTTGACTTAGCACGAGCTTTTGAAACTGTAAATCATCCAATACTGCTGGAAAAACTTTATCATAGTGGTGTTAGAGGAACTGCGTTAAAGTGGATCCAAACCTTTTTATCGAAAAGGTTTCAAAAAATTAAGGTTAATGTGAATGGAAATATAATATTTTCTTCAGAAGAAAGTGTGCTCTCCGGAGTTCCACAGGGAAGTATCATTGGCCCTCTTTTATTTTTGATTTTCGTCAACGATTTAAATCAACTGATAAACGATAGCTCAACATGTTTGGTTCGGAATCCATTAGATAATTTTTCTGATGCAATAAGCGTTCGAGGAGAAAACTTGGAACAGCAATCAGGCTATTACGTCACTCAATTTGCTGACGATACCACAGTTGCACTAAATTCCAATAATTTTTCTCATGTAGTTCAAAAAGCAAACTGTCTTGTAAAAAGTATGAGTCTTTACTGTTTAAATAATGCCCTAATCTTAAATGGATCAAAGACCAATATGGTAACCTTTTCACCTTCTACTATGAAGATGAGTCCATTAGTAAGGCTTGACAATGGGTCTGTGGTAAATAGCCACTCCACCAAGTTGTTAGGTGTTTATCTGGATTCTAATTTGTCTTGGAGTTCTCACGTTGATTATGTAGTGGGAAGATTGTCTGTACACTGTTATGTTCTATGGCAACTTAGGAATTTTGTCTCCCTAGAAATCTTGAAACTTTACTATTTTGCTCATGTACAGTCAATTTTGCAATATTGCTTAGTTTGTTGGGGAAATTGCTCGCGTATTAATGAGGTGCTTGTTCTTCAAAAAAAAATTATTCGTACCATGACGTTTAGAAGGCGCTTGGATTCCTGTAGATCAATTTTTAAACAATTAAATATTTTAACTGTAATTTCGTTGTATATTTTCAGTTGTGTTGTATATGTAAAGTCACACAGATGTAATTTCATTTGCAGAAATGATGTTTCCTTAATGAGTGGCTACAATTTTCGTTACAGAAATGATTTGGTGACCCCTGCTCGTCACTTGACTGTTGTGGGCAAGGGCCCTTACCCAACATGCGTTAGTTTGTATAATAAATTACCTAATTATGTTAAAGAGTTAAATATTTATGTATTTAAGAGAACAGTTAAGAAATTACTTCTGGCAAACACTTTCTATTCGTTAGAGGAATACTTGCAGGCATCTTTTTGTATGTTTTTTATGTATATTTTATGTTTTATGATTGTGATTATAGTTTTTACTGTTTTTTTACTACCTATGTACCTATAGTTTTTTAGATTGTATTTTGACGCATTTCAATACTTGTAAAAGTCAGATGAAATAAAGAATATTGATTGATTGATTGATATCCATGTATAGAGACCTCTTTTTGGTTGTTTAAAACATGTGTTGGTGATAACAAAGTTTTCCTCTTAGCAGAACTCCAGCAATCTATCACCTCTTTCGTTTCTTTATTAGTAATTATTATTTCGATATATAAATCATATATTTTCTTTAAAATATCTTTTGTTTTAACTTCCAGTTGAATGTTTGGCTGAAAGTACATGGCTGTCCTTCAAAATCGGTAACGTCTGTACAAAAAGACGGG